CACCACACAGCAGCCAGCTCTGTTGGCTGCTTGTTGGAGGGGTTTCAACCCTACTGTGCCTACAGCAACAGCCTCCCTTAAGAGCAAGACTGAAGGCACACTTGGTGCTGCTAGCATCCCACTACTCTAATTCCAAGAGAGAAACTGTGCTTTTGTGAATTTATTAGCCAGTGCCATTAACTGCCATTAGTTAGCTCTCACATATTATCGTAACTGGGATTTCAGATGATTTGTAGTTTTGCTGGCTTGTTTTCTTGTCAGTGGTTTCAGAAGTCCATCCAGCCAAAAGTGGAAAAGTTTCAATGTTATGCCAGGGATGGCTGGCTCCCTTTGGCCCTGGGAAGTGAAGGCAGTGAGGAAGAGTCACTGACTATTTCAAAAACAAAGAACAGATGTTCCACATATTAAGGAGCTAAATGTCATTCCAGGGACTCGTGCGAGTGGCACGCTCACTTACAAAGAGTAGCTGTTCCAACAAGGTCATTTATGCTTTAATGCAATCAGTTATGCCAGTATTGATAAAGAAGAAAATAACTACAACCTGTCAATGAAGCATCATTACATTATAAGCAATACTATCTCCTTGAGTTCAAGCTTCCTCAAAAATCCCAGTAGAGTCCAGTTTGTACATAGGACAAGAGTGTTCCTTCCTTTTCTGTGCTGCAGGACAAAAGGGGAGGGGGTGCCTGTTGAACCCAAGATCCCAGTAAGAAACCAGAAGCACGTCTGACAGCACATCTCCAGACGGACAGCCTGGAACCCCCTCACTCCTGCACAGGCACAGTCAAGCCCCACCACACACCTCATCTGTTCCCACCGCGCAGCGACCCATCTTGTTCCTCACAGGAACGAAGCTGCTTTCAGTGTGAGAGCACCAAATCAAAGTTTAATCGTTTTGTCCTCCAGAGCTTTATGCCATCTTTTACAGAAGCTTTGTCAGACATGAAGAACTATCAGTGGCTGGCTTAAAAAGGGAATAACTGACTGACAGCTAAAAAAAAACCTGCTAAGGACAATAGCATTTGCCAGTCTGGCATTTCTCATCTGAAGACAAAATGCATTTTATCAACACCCTGAAATTATTTTGTCAACAAAATTCATTTTGTAGCATTCCCTTCACCTGTCAGGCTGACAGAATGCTCTGGAATGGTTTAAACCCCATTTTGCTGACACAATTAACTCAGTTCTGCCTTGCCATGGCATGAGCCGGGAGGTGCTGCAGCAGTCGCGATGGAAGCGCCGAGGTGCAGCTGCAGGACTGCACCAGTCCCAACGAGAGCAGCGAGCAACCGGCCACATGGAGACAAGAATCCTGCTAGGTAAATCCTGCCTTCACAAGTTACGTGATCTCATTGAGACCGTTATGAAACCATAAATGAGAGCTGATTGACAGACATGCCAATTTATACTGAATGCTAACAAATGCTGGTAACGGTTATTTCTGGAAACAAAAGCTCCATCAAAGCTTTCTTTAACCTTGTTTCTACATCTTTTACCAGTTCCTGTCACCAGCCTCCGTCTCAAAAGGCAAACTCAGGGTGTGAGTTGCTGCGTGGCACCTTGGTTTCATATTTTAGTCTCCCACAATGCACTTTCTGACTTCCTGGATGTGGCTTCAGGCTGGAGCAAGGAAAAGCTGGAGCAGGTGGATGTGCCTGAAGCTGTGACCCCATGGAGAGCCCACACTGGAGCAGGAACCGTGGCCATAGAGGACCCAGGCTGGAGCAGTGTGTTCCCAAAGGACTGTCTCGCATGGGAGGGACCCCATGCTGGAGCAGGGAAGGGCATGAGGGTGAAGGAACAGCAGAACAAAGCATAAAGAACTGAGCACAACCCCCATTCCCTGTCCTCCTGCACCACTCAGAGGGAGGAAGGAGAGGAGCTGGGAGTGAAGTGAGCCTGGGAGGAAGGGAGGGCAGGGGCAAGGTGTTTGGTTTGTCACTATCCTGTTCTAGTTTACTTTGTAACGCTGTAAATGAATCTCTTTTGCCTGTGATGGCAAGTGTGGGTGATCCCCCTGTCCTCACCTTCACATGGGAGCTTTTTCACCTCGCTTTCCCCCACTCTTCCTGAGAGGGTGGAGCAAGAGCAGCTTGGTGGGTGCCTGCCAGCAGCCAGGGTTAACCCACTGCATCTGTGGTGAGTCAATGGCTGAGCTGGAAAACAAGAGCCTCAACCCAATGGATACCGCTGCTTCCTCCTACCTCTGTGCTACCTACCTCTGCTGCGTGCCGGAGAACCCAGACCTTCAATGCCCGTCACAGAGTCACAGAGTTAAAATCTGGCCCATCCTTCCCTGTTCTGCCCGTGCTGGGGTTTTGTACCACTGGCACACAGCCCCTTGCTCATTCCCATCCTCCTTCTGCTCCCGATGGTGCCGAGGCCTTTACACTCACATGATTTAAATAGACCTGCTCCTGCTGGGCCTTTTTTTGAGACTGAATCATTAATTCATTAATCTGTTTTTCATATTTCTAAATCGAGACAGACATGACTGGTGTGGATGATCAATACTGCATTCTCTCACTCCTCTCAGTTCCCATCATTTTAGAATCTACCCTGCTTTTAATCTTAGGTCATTTGAATAGGAATTGGCTTTATGAAGAATTTGACAGTTCATTATGGCAGCCCCATGCTAATAGATTAAATAATTCATATCTGCATTGGTCACTTTTAACTGATAATACACATTCCAGGGCTGCTTCATGACTGCGTTCTTGCAGTAACAGCTCTGGCCTTCCCCAGTGATCTCTCATTGCATTATCAACACACGGGGACTGCATCTGTCAAGACTCCACCTGTGTTTTCAGGGAGTGCCGGTCACCCCAGGCTGCACCACGGCCTCTGCAGTGTAACAAGCTCCTCTGGTCCCACAAGCAGACGAAGGCAATGAGGCAGAGCTGGCACATGGAGCTGTTGCACCCAGCAGAGATCTCTGTCAAGAGGAAGCAGCACCCACCTCCCTGCTCTGAAGGACACGTGCCTTCCAGCAGCATGACATCATGGTGAGGTGGCCTTGGCTGGCCACCAGGTGCCCACCCAGCTACTCCATTACTCCCCCTTCCCAACAGGTACAGGTGGAGAAAACACAACAAAAGGATTCTGGATGGAGATAAGGACAGGGCCAGGGGATGAGCACAGGGACATGGCTCAGCAGTTACCATCACAGGCAAACAGATCTGGCCTGGGGAAATTACCTGAATCTATTGCAGTCAAACCAGCAGAGGATAATGAGAAATAACAAAAAATCTGAAAACACCTTCCCCAGCCTTCCCTTCCTGGGCTCACTTCACCATCACCTCTCCACCTTCTCCCCCTGAGCGGTGCAGGGGGATGGGGAATGGGGGTTGCGGTCAGTTCACCACATGTTGTCCCTGTGGCTCCTTCTTTCTCACACTCAGCCCCTGCTCCTGCATGGAGCCCCTCCCATGGGAGACAGTCCTGCACAAGCTTCTGCAATAGGGCAGCACTTCTTCCAGCATGGGGTCCCTCGGGAGCAGACTGCTCCAGCGTGGTCTTGCCAAAACACCCATCCCAGTGTGGGCCCCTCTCCATGGGTCCCCAGTCCTGTGAGAAGCCTGCTCCAGTGTGGGCTCTCCATGGAGTCACAGGCACATCCCCCTGTTCTCATGTGGGATCCTCCCCAAACCGCAGGTGGGTATCTGCTCCACCATGGACTTCCATGGGCTGCAGGGACAGAGCCTGCCTCACCATGGGCTGCGGAGGAATCTTCTGCAGCCCCTGGAGCACTTCCTCCCCTCCTTCCTCACTGAGCTTGGTGTCTGCAGCGTTTCTCTCACATTTTCTCACTCCTCCCTCCTGTCTGCTGTTGCACAGTTTTTACCCTTTCTTAAATAAGCTATCACAGAGGCACTACCACCATCCCCTATGGGCTCAGCTTTGTAAAGGGCAGGTCCGTATCAGAGCTGCCTGGAACTGGTTCTGTCCAACACAGGCGCAGCTTCTGGCATCTTCTCACTGAAGCCACCCTCACACACCCCCACTACCAAAACCTTGCCACATAAACCCAATGCAGACACCGATCAAGCAACACAGCCCAAGCCATCTGCTCCTTCTGACCCCTGCCCCCTCCGCAGCAGATGACGGAGGACAGTATGAGACCTACCAAGTAAGCAAAAGGTCTGAGAATGGATCACACAAGTGCCTTTAACTGATACACACACCTCTGGCAATAGCTCCCTTGTCAACTAACCCCAGCAAGTATTTATTAATGAAACTCTCCTGATTTTTGATTCATTTGATTGTAAAAGCTTGTGGAACTCCTACTGTTATTACTCATTGTTATTAATGTTCACAGCTCAGCCTCTCTCTTTCCAATATGCTCCCCAGAGGAAATCGAAGGCTGAAGCCAATCGTTACAGTAAACGACTGATGGAGCCGCTTGAGGATAGGAGTAAGCTGCTGCTCTGGGACCTGCTGCTCCGGGACTGCTGCAGGTTACTGGGAGTAAGTTAATCTTCACACACAAGGACTGCAAGGTAAGAGGCTGATTCAGGTGCGTACTGAGCATCACCCTAACAAAGCGGTCTGTGCACAGGACCTGTGATCAAGGCCATATTTTGATCTACGTGCGGAAACAGGTCTGAGTTCAGCAGGAGCATGGCCCCTGCTGGGCAGGAATGACACAAATACTCAGACAGATGCTACAGGCAAGTCAGCACAGCCTGGCAGAAAGCACATCTCCATGCCTGCACATACTGAAGGAAAGCAGAGCAATCCTTGGAAAGTTTCATCCTCTCCACCCCTCTGCAACCGCTCATTCCTCAGAAAAGGTCAAGGACAACACCACAGGGCACAGCAGGCAGACCTCCAGCGTGCAACACTCAAATGTGTATGGAGGGGAACAGCACGCTGCTTGCTTCCCTCTGCCCCTTCTTCAAGCCTTCTCTACCCTTCCACAGCCTCTTTGCTGCACAGCATTTGCCAATTCTTGCACCACATACAAACTCCTCAAGCCAGAATGGTGGTAGTGCTCCTACCTCTGTGGTAGAGGAGGTGCTTCTAAATCCTCAGTAGCACTGTTACACCACTTTGCCAGAGCAGAGTATTTGTTCATGTTGTATTTTCCGAGTCTACAGAGCCCACATACCATATTCAACGTATTATTCATCTCAAATAGAGAATTCTGCAAAGCAAGAAGAAATAAAAGAGAGCTTAATACAGCTTTACTAAATGGAATTTGCCAAAGACTCACAGAAAAATGGATTTAATTAGGGCTGGTAATGGGGAACGGTTTGTTCCCGTGATTTAAAGCAGAAGTTAGATAGTGTCTATAATTTCAACATTTTAAATTATATATAGGGGGTTATTTCTCATTTCTACCTTAATTATAAAAATCTATCTTTATGAATCACAATTTTGAGGCAAATAAAGCAAAGGCAGCAAAAGTGATGTTTCAGTTAAAACTTTTAAGAACTCACAAAAGAAGCAACAGACACTTCAGTATGGATAACACAGGCTTGCCATAGCAAACAAGAGTTGCAGGCAGTCCTCTGGGTGCCACTTATGGACACCACCACAAAGCTAACCTTCTACTTGGGAAAAGGTGTGTAAAGGAAGGTGTGTTCTGTTACAGGAGGTGAAACTGGGTCGATTTTGTGCAATAATCGAATGTCCTGCATTAAATTTTGCAGCTAAGCAGCACATTAGACTTGCAGGCATTGCTGGCCTAATGTGCTCCAGTCGGTAACCCCATGTACTAGAAACCTCTGCTACCCCTTCTAACGCTGCTTTCAGAACCTCTGAATTGCCAACGCTGTTTCTCCAGACAAAAGGGCCACTGAACCGTGCCAGAGCCGCTCCTCCCGAGCCTCCTCCAGAGCCTCTGATTTCATTTAAAACTAACAAATGGCACCTTCGAGAAATTCCTCCTGGTGGCTGGCTCTGACCTAAGCAACTGAGTCACAGCCTTGTACAGCACTGATTAATGCAGGCACAAATAACCCAGGCAAGTGACAAGCACACCGGGCCCAGCCGCTCTCCCGCAGCACATCCTGCACCCACCAGAACGTGTGTTAATATTGCACCTCAGCTCAGGACGGAATCAATGAGTGAAGTTCAAATGTGGCACATTTCCTATTTCCCTGACAGCTTATTTCATGGATCACAGGGACCAAAGTACAGCTGCTTATTCAACAGAGGAAAGAATGAATCAATTTTCATTCCTTAATATACTGTGTGACCTATTCTCTGATGCTCTCTCCTTTACAATGGCTCCAGTCTTTTCAAGGCCCTCAATTTTGTCAGAGAGAGAAAATTTAGAATAGTGACAAAACGCCCCGGCCCACGCCTGCTTCGACTGACCGCCCGCTCTGCCAGGAAGAGGTGCATGTGAAAGATGCCACGCCAATCCGCCTGAGTTACACAAACTGTGATCCCATGTCATCAGAAAGGAACCAAATTCCTGGAAGATGATTTGCTGGTGTTTTGCTGGGGAATACTGCTCCTGCCTGCTCCAGGAGCTCAGCCTGTGCTGCTGCTCAGCGCCGGACACAGGGAGCTCGGAGGAGCTCAGGCTGTGAACCATCACTCAGGACCAGGTGCACAAACACAGTGAGTGCCACCTCCCCACCCATGGTCCCCAAGACCATGCCACACCGAGCAGTGAGACCAAAGCCCTGTTGATCTGCTCACCCAGCAGTCTCTCTGAAGCTAGCAGATAATGATACCACTGCTAATTTGGCCAGAATTAATACACTGAGACGCATCTTTTTGCAATTTCAGTGTGAAGATCATTTTTTCATTTAGAAATACCCTCAGGTATTGTGGGTTTAACCACCCTCTGCCTGCCTTGTGCTTGTCTTGCCTTATTTATCCCTGGTTCACAGGTAATACTCACGTTGTCCTTGTCACTGATAACAGCCTGGGCTTTTTTACTGTGACATTTTTCAAAGCAGGAAGGTGAGGCTCTGCACAGGAGAGCAGAGCACAGGGGTGAGGCTGGACCCCAGCGCTGCCACAGCCACCCCGGAGCCACTGGCAACGAGACAAGGGGCATGTGAAGAGCCAGCAGCCTGAAGAACTAGACACGGTGTGAATGGGCAAGCTGGGACAGGAAGCACCCTGGGACCTCCACAGGCAAATGGGATTTCTGGTTCTTCTTTCTCAAGCTCTCCTTCTGCCCGGAATGAAGGTGAGACCCCATGTGGCTTGCCTGGCCTTAAGACATGAAGGTAATGAATCAGGCCCTATCAGAATATTATCTAGATGAAACAGACATATCATGGCCAGCTTTATTTGCTTTTGTCTTTACATATCCAGTAGTTCAACTCCAGGGCTTTCAAAGCATCTGCATTTAACAAATGCCAGTACTTCAGGGCCCACGAGCGCACAAACTGCTTTTCCAGTTCATAAAATGAATCTGCGAAGAGCGTGGGTCACTAAACAGCTGCAACAAATGTTGTAGGCCAGACCTGTGCCTCAGCAGCCAAGAGCTGCAGTGGAGGCTGCTGCCCCTGAGAGATTAATTCTCCTTTTTTATTTCTCCTCAGTGGTGGGAACACAACAGGAGCTGTGTAGTTGGCATGAAAGGGTCTCCCCTCCTCACCAAAGACAGGTTCCCTCCACACCAGCCTGCAGACTTGTGGCTGTCTTCACATTTTCTGTATAAGATCAACTTTTCCTTCTCCTTTTTATCAGACTTATCCCTGCCACCAGCCATGCCTCTCCTGAGCAGAGCAGCTCAGCTGCCCATGAGCCATTTGCTCCCAGTGCTCTGTTCATTATGGCACTGTCCCGGTGCTCTTCTCATGCAGCCAGGGTTGTTCTGCACCAGAACAAGACACCTGAACTTCCCAGTGATGGAGTTTTGGCAGACAGCTCTGAAGGACAACAATGAGGGATGGAGGCTGAGCAGCCAGCAGCTGAGGTTCACCTGGTTAGCTTTGGATGCAGGAACAAGCACTGTGTGTGTGGCGCTGGGCACATACTGCCATAGGGATTGGTGTGCTGCATCCCTGTCACCAGCACCCATAGCTCTCAGAGAATATGCCAAAACTGCCCACTATGTTCTGTCAAAGTAGCGTTCAAAATCGAGTTTTAACAAGACCTTTTCCCTTCAAACAATATACAGATTAATAGTCAGCAGCATCTGAAAAATGGCCCTAATCCCTGTCTGCACAGGGAGTTTGTTCCCAGTGCAATGTGCCATATTATGACAACGATATATTCTTCAAGTGAGTGAAAACTAATGAATAACTAACACCCTGACAGTCTTGCTGTTACTGAGTGCTTAGGAGTTGGGTAAAACTGACAGTGTAAGATGAATACGGCACTAAGATGAGATGTTACCTTGCATGGCTGGCCAGGGGAATCCAGACTTAATGGACATTACAGATGGGTTAATTCTGAAGGCTGGATTTGATCCTAAGCCATAGCTACTCTCCAAGGAAATAGGGAAGGCTTAATCACTCAGACAACTGAGCCCCAGGCAGCAGTCCATTCATGAAGGGAGCACCGGGAGCATGGTCCTGGGAGCAAGGATGCAAGTCTGCCTGCTGCCTCTGCCTCCCCGAGAGCAGGCAGAGCCCCTGCCCACCCAGGAGGGCCCAGCAGAGCTCAGGCAGACTCTTTGTACTGTGCTGCAGATGCAGGACGGTCCCTCCCAGGAGGGATCCCCAGAGCACACTGAACGTGCACTGGAATCACGAGGTGCCAGTGAGATCATTCAAGCTGCAAGAGGATGGGCAGTATGATCCCAGAATCGAATGTGGCTGTTTGCCCAGAACACTGTGGAGCCCCACAGTATTCATGGGTTGCAAGAGGCTTCAGAGACACCCCTGCAGCAGAGCCTCACCTGCCAGCTCAGTGCAACAGACACAACCACTGCTCTAGGACTGTGAGCAGGATCTCTGAGGACTGCAGGCAAATAATCCCATCATCCATGCCCTGTCTGCTATGGGTTTTCACAAGCATCTCCTAATGGCTGTGGCAAAAAAAAAAAAGCCCCAAGCTAGCCAGCCCCCCACACCACACTGAGCTTCCTCTCAGACCTCCTTCATGGTGGTGCTGGGGATCATTCAAAGGCCTACCACAGCCAGAACCCCTGCAGCATTCCCCACACTCAGCAGAGGATCATGGTCAAGGGGGGGATCTCCTGTGTCTGGGTTAGCTCTGCCCATACCCGGTGTAAGACAAACTACAGTGTGGTGGGCTCCCTCCTACACCTGGCTTGCAGCAGCAGGCACTTATCATGCATTCCTTGAGACCTGACATGGCTGCATCTTGCTTCCACCCTCATTCCCTTTAGTTTAAATTCAGTCAAGGACAGATCTCCCCCCTCAGCAGATACAGAGGAGGTCCCAGTGTGTACCTGTTTCCAGGAGCAGAGGCTTCAGGTGATGACAGCCTTGCAGTGTGTGAGCCTGGCAAAATCACAGTCACACTGATGTCAGGATGGTCCCTGAGCTTCTTACCACAGGCACAAACCAGGAGGAGCCAGTTCCTGTAATTAAAAAGTTGAGCCATATCAGAGGAAAACTAATCAGCTTGTTGGATGCCAGCAAATTAAATATTAATCTAACCATTGTGAACACAAAAATGTTCATCTTCAGATATTTTCTGGCACAAGTGTCAAAACCAGAGTGGAACCAAAGCTTTATTCATTTTCCATTATCAACTTAAATAAAAACACTCAGAAAAATGGGCAATGACGTGCAGAAGCCACTCAGCACAGATAATTACAGTGTAAGTTTAGGCAGCTAATCACTCCTAGAATATGCTTCAGATCAAGATAACTCTGACTGGCTTGTTTCCCTGCCTTGTTAAATCAGACACTCTCAGCTCTGCCTGATGGGGATGAGGCTCCCAGAGTCAGCATCTTTAAATAACAATAGGGCTGTCTGGCAGGCATAGAAGTCACCCTGCCACCCAGCAGCAGGATGGGTAGGAAGCCTCTGCTCTAGGAAAACAAAGCAGAAAGAGGCAGGGACACTGTGGAAGCAATGCTGGGAGATGGGACGGGCAGCGGCAGGCAAGAGCAGGGAGAGGGGAGGAATGCAGGGAAGATGTGGGAGCAGAAGTACAGGGAGCCATAGGCAAGGACACGCTGCAGAACTGAGGCACCGCTGCAGCTGCAGCAGAAGGAAGGGCCAGTGCTGTGGGGCAGCAGCTCTGGCTTTGGCAGTGCTCAGAGGAAGAGCTGCCCACGGGGCAGCCCCACACCCCTCACCCCCTGCCTGGGGCTCCTGGTGCCCCACTGCAGCACTGCCGTGCCACAGCCGAGCCTTGCTGCAGGAGGACAGCAGTGGGGTGCAGAGGAGATGACGCGCTGAAACCAACAGGTTCTCCTGCAAGAGACTCCACTACTTTGGACTGTGAGCAAGGGGTGATGGTCCACAACCGTTTCTCTGGCGTGCCAGCCCACATGCTTTACGTTTCAGGTTCAATGAGGGCCTGACCGTTGCTGGAGTGGCGAGCAGCACTGGGCAGATACAGTGAACGTGGTGTATGCCCCAGGGGATGGAGAGATCAGCATCCACCTGGGACAGAGCACACTCAGCTGCAGCCTGGGTAATTCTGCACTGCCCAGAGTCTGACCACTGCATTTGCTTTATCAAGAGCAGATAAAATGAACTCCCCTCAATTCCAGTGGATCACCCTTACATTCTCAATCACTAATTTACATGGGCTTTTGCCTGGAACTAGGGCAAGAATTATCTTTATAGCAGCATTCATGGACATTCTTTCTTCTGCTTAATTATTAACCTTGCGGTAGTAAATAAAGGGTGTTTATGAATTCCATCAATCACTACAAACCTTTTGCATGTAGAGCACAGAGACATTTGTAATGAAGAAGCAGCATTCACACTTTTGCTTTATTTAAAGCAATGAATAAATATAGCCTGTGGATGCTCTCGTGCAGTTTCTTAAACCCGAAAGCCTGCCAGCGGCTCTGCCTGACTTCCTCCCTGCTTCACTGCAACAGCCTAAGAGAAGAGTGGACTGGAATACACGGGGACTTTAAAGAGCTCAGACGCCCTTCAGTGATACAGGTTTCAGAGATGGCAGAAGCTCTGTCAATTAACACAGTGCTCGGTGTTCTCTTTTAGAGCCAATGTCTGCCCATGTCAGCTGTGCATCAGGCAGACTCCAGCCATCTCAGCAGCCTTTCTCCAGTCTCACTGATGGGCTGTGTTCTGTGGAATGCTGGGTTGAGCTATTTCTTGTCCTTAAGATCCCCAACAGATAGAATGCACAGGGGAAGTGCCAGCCACTGAATTATTCAGTGTCGTCCCCAAGATTGGCCTCACCATCGAAAATGTATCTCTTTAGAGACACACAACTAAAGCAGTAGCTTTACGCATCCCAAGACACCTCTCCCAGCTATTTATACATCCTATTGCTAAACAGGCATTGCCAGGGTTTCTTCTTCTCATCCACTTTGACCCTGACAAACAGAAGTTTCCCTGAACCAGACATACTCTCTTCTGTTTTCCAAATACTCGTGAATCTTTTCTCCCTCTTGAATTAAGTAAGCCATGATCTTTAGTTATGTGTTGCTTTGAATCCTGGGGTCTCAGCACAAGCAACTGCAAGAGGAGCCAGTAAATTATTTTAGCTGAGCAGCACAAACAAGTAAGAGCTTTTGTGGACATGAAATGAAAATGACCATGCGCTCATTCTGGAAGAAACTGTGATATTAGAAAGCATAAAACCTACACTCTTCAGATTCCAGTAGGCTTATGTTGTATTAATTATTTATCAAGATGTTTTCTTAAAGTAGTGTCTTTGTGCCTTTAATTTTCAATTCCCTTAATGCTATGAGGATCTCTACTGGCAACACATCAATTATTAATGGAGTTAAAACAATATTTGTTTTCCCCAACCACATTTTGGAGCGCTATCTTCACACCAGTTTGGCTTCTCTGAATCTTCCCTGAGGGGCTCTGCTTTCCTCCAGACTCGTGGCTGAGGCTCAGGCTTGGCTTTCATTTGGCTGCGGGAGCTGGCATGGCACCGCAGCCGCCGGGCCGCAGCACGGAGCAAGCTCAACAGCCGTGAGGAGGGCACAGCAACGGCAGCGCGGAGGAAATGGGAATGTCAGCTGCCGAGTTCAGAGGTTCTGTTGTTGTAGGGACTGCTCTGCCTCTCCTCATTGCAGCAGCTGTCCCCGGGCTCAGCCTCTGCCTCCCTGGGTTTGGAAGACTTGCCTCCTAACAAAGAAAACAACAGTGCAGCTCCTGAAATCTGCAAGCAAGCCACTCAATTTAGCAAAGGGATACTGGGGTTTAAGAACTTTATGCAATCTCAGCCACTTCTGTCTCTGCCAGGGAGCACATAAAAAATTAAAACCCCAAAAAAAGCAAGAAGATTTTCTAGGCCCTAATTATAAATATATTTTCACAAGGAGAGTCAACTTAAGCCTAATATCGTGTGAAATCTCATCATTTCAATACAGTCTTCACTGGATGTAGACTGGCAATTGGAGCTGTGGAATCAATTTTTCCCATACTTGAAACACCCAAATAGAGTATGAAACGTGTTGCATTTGTTCCATGCACGTCTCCAGTTCTGCACTTTGCTTGCAGTGGAATGATCATTCTGATATATTTTTTATAACAGAGCAACATTTCCTCAGACTTTGATGTTTCACGTGTGGAACTATTATAACCATTTGCCATTTAGATGCATGATCCGTGGCTCATCTCCAAAGCTTTGATGCATGCAAGAATTAGTACTATTGATGTCATTGCACCATATTTAAAATATGAACACCTCTTTGTAAGTCTACAGCTAACAGAGGAGGGAGGCAGCCAGTCCACACCAAGGCTGGCAAGCTCCTGTTGGTAAACCTGCCACACAGTGCCGGGTGACATCCTTCAGTGAGAGCAGGAAGGTGATGCAATGCGTGCTCTGGTCTCAGTACACGGAGAACAGCTCTAGGAAATTGAACCCTGGGGTCTCCAGACGCCACATTGTGGGCATTGACCCTGAACTCAGCTCCATGGCATGTTGCAGCAACTCCTGCACCTGGGACCCTGGGTACTTCTATCTGCAGTGTGTAGCACTGTGGGTCTGTATGCACTGGGAAGAGTCTGCCTGGAGCATATAGGACAAGATTAGCATGATTCTGAAAATGGAGGGCTCAAGCTGCTGGACTCAGCCTCTTCCCAAGGACACACGGAAGCAGCCTGCAGTGCAGTCTGGCTTAAAACAGCTGGCTGGCACCAAGCTGAAGTTGTTACCCTGCACCTCCTTACAAAGAAAGATATGCAAACAACAAAACTCTGCCTCCCGCAAGCCAAGCACCTGGGAGCCAGCCTGTCTGGATAGGGCATGCCCTTGTGCCTCTGCAGCAAGACAACCTTCCTGCTCCTTCACAGGAGGTGTTCATTACAGGCTGCCTTTGCCCTGCTCAGACTCCACTGGTTGGGCTGACACGTCATGTCCGAGTAGAAATTTCATTGATTTTATTATGTACAGCCAGTGTTTTACATGGCAGGATCAAGAGGCAGAAGACAGAGAGTGATTAGCTGAAAAAGAGAACCAAAGCAGGAGGCCAGCAAGGGCAGATGCAAGGATGGGGAGGCGAGGGCAGACAAGAGCATCAGCAGTCAGGGAAGAGGTGAGGCTCTCTGGAGCCACAAACCAGTTACACATAGCAAAGACATTGGCTGTTCACATGGTCTCATCTTGCCTCCCAGCCTTACACAGGCATCCTGATCCCAGCCATGGCCTTTCTTATCTCTGCCTCCTAGAAGGTGCATGTGATCACCTCGCTCATGCAGTCCTGACCTGCTCTGCTGGCTGCAGAACCTCTCCTCCTCCTCCCTCAGCCCATGGTGCCTCAGGCAGCTGCTGGTAATTCAGAGGCTGAGCCCTGCTATGCAAAGAGGCTACAAAAATAGCTCCCAAAGGCTCTGGATGTAGCCAGCTACCTGGAAGAAAACGTGAACCCGTGCAGAAAAGTGAACCCAGAACGCTATGCAGGTTCTGACCAAGGATAAAAACTCTTCCCTGGCAAGCAGGAATTCCTTTGTTGGCCTCCAAAGGCAGAGCTCTGCATAGCTCTTGGCAACCCCAGTGGACACACTCGTGTTCTCGGTATCCACCACCCCCTTCTCAATTGCTTTTAAGACCATCACTGTACATACCCTTTCTTTACACTACCAAGCTAGAGACTCTCAGTGCCACAGTTAGTCCAGCTGTGCTGTACTGTCACTTCATCCCAGGAGCACAAATCAGGGAGAGATGAGTGTAACTTACTCCTGCATGAGCACTCTAACGTCCATGCCTGATAAACTGACAGCACAGAAGACAAACATGACAAGAGCTGGCTTTACAGATCACTTTATCCCCTTTATGGTTAATGGGGCTCTGGGGGTAAAATTACTGAACTCTCCAGTTCCAGCTCCCAGGCAGTTCTGCTGCTCCCTTGATCCAAGGCTGAACAAAATCAGCCAGTTTGCTGCATGCCCCAGCAAAGGCTCAACCTCATCTGACCAGTGCAGAGCACAGAACCAGAGCTGCAGGGAGGTGAATTCACCACTGGCAGAAGTCACATTGCCTCAGCTCCTGGCTGTGGGATTGCTCACTGCGGAGCCAGCCCAGCGCCATGAAAAGGCCTCAGCAGCGTTCACGTATTCCTGTTTCACTTCCGAAACAAATGAACTGAATGCAACATCTTGATCTTTAGTTGGTGACAAGAGACCTAACACGCTTCAGGAGGATGGCACTCCATTTGATTTCCCCAGCAGAGATCCTTGGTAAATCTACACTGTGAAGGGGAGACCAAGTTAGTCTAGAACCGAATCAGGCGTCTCATTCTTCAGTACAGCACTACGGATCAGAACGCGCTAGGGTGGAGGCTAAGCAAAGACAGGACCTCTGACAAGGCAGTACCAAGCCCTCAGCCCATCAAGGCCAAGTGCCGCCTGTTCAGAAGGCCCTGCTGGCACAGTGGGAGCCACCACCTCACAGCAGCTCTCCTGGGGCATGAGGCTACTTCCCAGCCTGACTTTTGCCTGTCAGCGAGATACCCCCAGTGTCTCACCACCGTTTCAAAAGTACATCAAGTCAAGCATCAAGCAGAGTAAGCTCACGCTGCAGGTAATGAGTAACCAAGTCTGGCCTGCACTCCCCCCATTCCGGACCTGGCCGAGAGGCCCTCTGAGCTGCACGCAGAGATGACAGGCACCCGGGAATCTGCGAGAGACTGGGGTATTTCAGCGCTCGAGGGGCAGCATGGCACAGCACAGCCCTCCTTCAGTGCACCTTACCGGATGCCCTTCCTGACGTGGCTTAAAATAAACCACAAGTACCGACGGGGGCACTGTTCATAAAAGCGTGTTTGTGTATCTAACCAGCATGTAACAGTGTTCTCCGGTGTAACACTGAGAACACGTTAAGCTGAGGTGTATGTGCCTAGGGTTACATACATTTCCAAACACTTCCGAAACAACACTTAACATGGATTGCTTTGAATTCCCTGAAATAAGAAGTACAACCAGTGAGTGCAGTCTCACCCATCCCATCCCCTCACAGGGGAAGAGCTTGTGATAACACAACAGCCAGACCCTCATCACTTTATTGCCTGTAAGTACTTTGGTGCTTGTAGAAGTGTCCCTGCATCACCTCTCCAGAGTTCTCCTCATTTTTCCCAGTGAGGCCAGAAAACATCTCAGGACTAGGGTCACAACAGCGCTCTCCAAGCAGTTAAGCAATGGAACACCAGCATCCTTTCCGTCCACTCAGCCCTCCCTCCCCTCCTGACCAGGATCCTTTTAGGCAACTAACTAGCTAGAAGACAGCCACGTTCTGAGCAACTCCAGGAATAAGGAATAAGTCCAATCTTCTTATAGCAAAGTGCCAGAGATGCTTATCACCTGGATGCACAGAAGAAACACCTGCACCATATATAAATCACCTATCATCATCCTCCCTGGAAAACTCATTATTGTAATAATCTAAACACTATGCTATCCACTGGATCACTCCCACTAACATTCATCCCGATTAGTTCCTCTGGTATTAATGTGGATGTCACAAGTACTTCCACGTGATTTTCCAGGCTTCTGTGCTTAAGACCATCCTGGTTTCTGCTTCAAGACAAAAAGCAGTTCGTTCATCACTTGTAGGACAGCTGGGCATCAAAGCCCCAGGCTTCATTAACTAAGCCGGTCCTCTTCCCTTAGGTGTTCCTCTCAGTGAAAAACTGCCCTCAGAGCCCACCAAGCTCCTTGGCACAGGAAGCCTGTCTTCCCATTTGGTTATTTTGCCTACACTCCAGAGCCCAGTGCAACACAAGCGTGCAACGCTCAGCAACCACCTGCCCACAGCTCTGGTGCCTCAAACCCATGCAATACGTGGGGTCAGTCTTTAAAGCGAGGGGAGCAGCCGGGGTTGCCTGCGCTGCTCCTCCAGGGCTGTGCCCTCCCGCAGGCGCCGGGCAGCTCACGTCAGCCTGCGGCAAGGCAGCACAACCGCTGGGGAGAGGCATCCTCTTCCGTAGTAACAGGAGCGAGGATAACTCTGTCTGCTCAGCCCAGGCATCTTATCACAGCGCCAAGAGTTTTACTACCAATTCCTTCAATGCTCTTTTACATTTCACTAGCTCTGCCTCAGACACGGCTGGAATATCAAGTGTAATTCCACGTGCAGGAGCATCAGCTAACCCATGCTGCCCTCTTCAGGAGCTGCTGCTATTAAATCATTACCAGAGCACAACCCTGCTGGGCAGGGAGTGATTTGGACTGGTTTTCATGAACAGGCACATCATGAACTTCATTTGGCGAAGATAAAGTGCTTCTGAAAAGGAAGGGCTTTTTCTATGGCACGAAGCGCCCTAGTCTTTAACTCAGACTCATAGGAGCAAGAACCAGCTTTTCTCTAGGTAGAATATGCAGCCAGGAGGCGCAAAGGAAGTTGTAGGAGTAGGGAGTAGCTATACCCACTGCCTGTTAACTCCAGGAGCAAACAGATGGAAGGAGATGAAGGGTAGCAAAATCCCTACTCCCTACATCACATTCTGATGCAGGGGATTCCCTGATGGCACATGCCATCACACCCACACCACGGGCATGGGCTTGAAACACTGGCACCTCCTACTTCAGCAGAGGACTTTATAGTTCGGGAAGCAAAGCATCCAGTGACAAATCAGTCACTGTGAGATGAATGTGCCACCCCAGAATGAAAAGGATGGGCATGTGCTGCACAGGAGAGGAAGAATGCCAGGAGCCAGCACACGCACTGCGCTGGGCTTGTCCAGTCATGAACTCCTGAAACAGGCGTGGAGAAGGGGCATCAAACAACAGGGACAGAGCCATCAAAATCCAAGCATTAATAGATCATCTGAAAGCTAGAACAAGGGAGGATTTTAGCATTACATAAGTAGAGGGGAGGCCAGAAAGAAAGGTATTGAGAGAATTTCAACTAGTTACATTTCATTAAAGAGCTAGAATTCAGCACAGCAAGGCTGAGTTTGAAGGGCACAACTACATCGGGGAAGGTCACGGTCCAGCATGTGCCGCAAAGGCCCACCAGTCACGCTGTCTCAGAAATGGGCTTTTAGCTTCTGCCCATTACACAAGAGGAAAGCGCTAGATCCAGCATGTCCAAAGCAGCTATCTGGAGGCAAACGGCGGCCTATTTCAGAGATCACGTGTTTACAGGTCAACAATGTTTAAATCTTTTACTCCCATCTACCACCCAGGGACATCTTTGCATTTTCCTTTTATTTATTACCAAAGCCTATTCTCATTCCAGCCCACAGAGGCTGATGAAGAGTGTTTCTTTATTTTTCATTCCAGAGGATTATTACTTATGTTGAACCCCTTTGTCCCTAACAGAGATGTAGCTCCCTAGGAATTCAGATGTTACTTAAAGTTCTTTTCCAATATCCAATTTGCCCTTTATTTATTTAGGGAGTTATTTCAGCAGGAACCTTGCTGCTGAGAGACACAGAGACTTGTTTACAGCACTGGTGCTGAAGGCAGCCAGGAGCTGGGGGAGTTGGGCAGGTGGCAATGTTACAGATCAGAGAAGTAATTACAACAGAGAACACAACATTAAAAAAAAAGCAAAACCAGCAAAGACAAGGGAGGAAAAGGAACTATGAACTGGGACAAATGCACTGGTGCTCAGGGTAATCCCAGTGCAGCGGCTGGAGCCATCTCCTGCGCACGTGCATCCCAGTCAGGCATCACCTCATCTCGGAGCAGCAATCGCTGAGCACTGTGTCCCTGCTGGGCTGCACTGGTGGTGGCTCCTGGGCCACCGCTCAGCACTGGGGCCTGGCTGGCTGCAGTGGGGAGCATGGCACTGGTAACTCCTGTCACAGACACCCCAACTCCACTGCAGACCCTGCGCAGCCCTGGGGCAAGCCCTTCCGGCTTCTCTTCTCTCAGAGGTGCTGGGTGACAAGGACACTCCTCACTGTCTCACATGAAAGTGATGTACTCGGGACCGAGCAGGGCCACTCTGAGCCTGCCTGACAGGAGAAGGGGGACTGAGCAAAATCCTGCAGCTGGGTATCCACAGGCCCCCTTGCAACACAGCTCACAGCCAGACCTGAGTGAGGAAGGTGCCTGGCCTCGGGCAGGTACCAGGGACTGAGAAGCCTCATTCACATGGATTAAGGTTCCTCGTATGGAGAAAAGCCATGTCCCTGTCACAGCACCATGCTGCCAAACGGACACTCCCTCCCGGCGGCACTTGCTTGGCAGCACCAAAACCTGCATTCCCCTTAAGGCAGGGACCGCTGGAGCACTGAGAAGGTTCGTTCCTGCCCCAAACACAACATAGCTGCTAATTATTCCCACTGCTGTTAGTTCCCTTTGATCTCACTCTCTGATCATTTAATGGGAAGCAGCTTATGCAGTAACTGAATGTTGGAACCAGCAGACCTCCACACACCACCCCACACCCCCCCCCCCCAGCAGGGGATACACATTATTTACCCATACAAAATCTTCCAAGGGTTATTACCATGTAAACTGTGATGAATTAAATTCACAGGAATTATTTCTGAGGCACGTAAATGGGAAGATTGCTGCAGAGGAAAAGCTGGGGAGCTGGCTCCATCCCAAGAGCAACACAGCCATGGAGTGAGAGGAAGCCCAGAACTTACCCCCATGACTCTTGTGCTACACAGTGAGCAACCAAGTGTGCAAAGGAATGGGAATGCTGGAGAGCGGAGCCAGCATGTCAGAATTTCCATCTAGAAAAGCCACAAGCTTCTGACCACCTTTGTGCTAGCATCCCCTTGCACAGGCATGAAGAACCCTCACCGAAAGTGCAGAGACTTAGATCACCATCCACTGCACAGAAGCCTCCTTAAATATTCCCTGGTCCTCAGTGCCTCACAGGGAACTCAGAATGGACACCAGATGCTGACTGAACCTCTTCCTCCCTTTTCTTCCTCCACCCTAAACAATCAGCAAAACATCAGAAGATCAGGGGCTCTCCTACCCAAGTCCAGTGGGATCTGACATACACACAGCGAGGCACTTTAGTGGCCTAGTCTTTAGATCTGACTTCCCCTGCTGGCAAACCAGTCTAACCTGGAGTTCCAATCTAAAGCCCATTCAGCCCAATATCCTGCTGTTGGCAATGACAGAAGAAAAACACAGCACTTAGAAGAGCAGGTAAGCACAGGCCAGCCTCCAATGCTGCACTTCAGAAGCTTCCTGAGCCAGAGGGCAGTGGGTGCTTGGGATCTGATGTTCACAGATGGGTTTTTCTTCCAAATTTTACACTTCCATTTTTTGAAACTTTTAGCACCTACAGCATCCTGGCACAAGAGAACTCCCAGAGATCCATCTCACATCTCTTTCCCTACAGGAGTCCTAAGTCTTCAGTGCGTCACATTTACTTAGGTGCTACTGACTTCATGCATTCCTAAAAGAACAAGACACCAATTCCTCCCCCACCCCGTGCTGTCTCCAGGTTTTCCCTGGCTAGGTTACAAGGAATGGTGTCCAGGGAGCTTTTGCAAGTGCCAGCTTTGACATATCTTGGGCATATTCAGCCAAACATCCCCATGAATTCCTGCCTGCATCCGCAGAGAGCAGCATGGGACAGCTGGGAGAGAAGCTGCCTCAGGAAGGTGGAAGGGGAGAGTGAGCACTCTCATCCCATGAGCATGGTGATGTTCCTTCTCTGAGGGCACAGGAAAGGCCCTGGGCAATGGGCTGTTCAGCTGTGTTCCCCCCACAGGGACTCCTACATGCAGCTCCGGCACAACA